GAAGCTGGCGGGCATGGGGCAGCCGCGGTTTTCCCCCGGGCAGCGGGCGGAGCTGGCCCGGGGCGGGCCTGGCTGCAGAGGCAGAGCCTCCCCGCGGGAGCCGACACGCACGTGAGCACCAGGGGGTGCCAGCCGGTTCCTAGGCAGGAGGGCGAGGCACTGAGTGCGAGGCAGAACCTCGCAGTTCCCACCAGATGCCCATGTGTCCGTGGCGGGTGTTGCCATCAGGCATCAGGAGCAGCTGTGAGGCCACAGCTGGTGGACGGGCCGCTGTCGGAGGCGAGTGTCCCTGACCGCAGGCACCCTCCGCCGGGGGCAGGCTGCGGGGCAGGGCAGGGCCTGCTCTGAGATGGGCTGGGCCGGGGAGCGCTGTCAGGTCTGCACTCAGACGTGCGTGCATCTTTGAAAGGAGTTCAGACCCAAGTGAGATCCATATCCTGGCATGTCCACACGGAGCGGGGGCTCCGGGCCCAGGGATCTCTGCTCCGATGCGTCTCCACAGGAGGCCACCCTGGTGACCAGTGGCCCAGGGGCCGGCTCTAGATGGGGTGACGGCTGTGGGAGTGATGTGTGAGGTCAGACCTTAGAACAGGGAATGACGGGAGGTGTCCAAAGTGTGCACTGAGGCCCCCCTTTCCGAGGAAGGGGTGCGAGCCCGCCTGCACAGAGGGCCAGTGCAGGGTCACCGCCAGGGCCTTGTTCTCTTCAATCCCGGCTTCCTGTGCTGAACAGAAGGGTCTGTGGGGAATGAGCCCAGAGCAGGTGAACAGGTTTAAAGTTGCTGTCGCTAACCGTCTGGTGAGGAGGAACGCCGTGTGGACGCTCTGGACACGGGTGGGTGTGGGAAGTAGACGCGGTGCTGGGCCAGCGTCTTGCTGCCTCGGATGCCAGCGGCTCCATCGCAACCCGCTGCCTGTTCTCCCTGGAGGGCTGTGCCTCCTGCAGGGACGGAGCCTCGGGCCGTGACTCGGGAGGAGCCTGCGGCCAGGACCCCGGAGGGCGGCCGCCCAGTGGCCGGGAGGAGAGCACAGCCTCCCAGGACATCTCAGAGCCCCCGGCCTTAGAGCCCCGTCGTCCTGGAGCGCTGGTTTTCCTCGTTCCTTAACGGACATCCCTCTCCGGAGCCGCCGTGCAGAGCACCTCCTCTCCCTGCTCTGGGCGAATGGGACGCCAAGGGGCTTCCTCCGGCTTAGCCATCCCAGGAAGACACGGAATGGCTTCCAGAAAGCTCCACCTACAGCACAGGCAGGGACAGTGAGCACAGAGCTGCAAGGAGCCTGCCAGCCGCAGCCTCGTTGCCTCTGCTTTGCTGTTAACAACAGTCCTTCCCATGGCCATGCCCCTCCTCGGGGTCCCTAAACTGAACTGTGTCCGTCAACACAAGGGACGCCTCCCCGTAATCGGCACCGGACGCCCCGGAGCTCCCAGCACACACGCGTCCTGTTTGCCGGGAGCATGTGCTGCCCCGGTGCCCAGGTCCGAGGGGCATCTGAACCTCCATCCTCACACAGGCTCCCTCCCGGGCTCCACCTGCCACGGAACCCCGAGTCTCGCCCACAGAACCGACCGCTGGCCGTGAGCTCCTTCCTGCGCAGTTGAAGTTGGCTTCGCACGTGTTGTTCTAGAACAAAAACTTCTGACTCCGTCAGTGGTGTTTCCTTTCTAATGTCTCTTTTTTAAATGATTGTAAAAAGTTTTGTAAAAATTAATATTGGTTTTGTATGCATCAAACCAAAACTACCACTTCATGCTTCCTCTCCAGCTCATTTACACAAAAGGTCCGGCCTGCCCGCGGCCTGGCAGCACTGCCTCCTGCGGGGAGGGGGCTGCGCAGGGAGAATGGTTATGGGGGCTCCTGTCGGGCGGGCACAGCGCTCTGAGGCCTAGCCGGGTGTGCGCCCAAGTGGCCGTGTCCCGGGTCGGCCAGCTCCCGCTCCTGAGGGAAGTGGCCGAGTCCTGCCCAGACAGGGATGGCGCGGCTCCTCCGTGCAGACCAGGGGGAGCAGGAGACCGTGGGGCTCACACGCTTGCTTTGCTTTGGGTTGTGTGTGTGTGTGTGTGTTTCATTGCGTTTCAGGAAAACACTCCCTCCTCCTCCCGAGTTTTATCATTTTTATAAAATGTGCCCTGGTGATACTAATAGAATCCACCCTGCTGGGCCTCAATCTCAATCCTCGAGGCTTGGCCTCTGCCAAGTCAACCTGGAAGGTGATTCTGTCTTTTACAGAGTCGGAACCCTTTCCGGTGACATTTCTTGGGATTTTTTAATGTGAAGCAGTTCCACACAAAGATGCCTGTTTTGTGAACGGAGAACCCTGACGTTCTATCCGTCTTGTTGGTTAAGTGATTTCTGAAGCCCTTGCTGCATTGGGCAAGGTGAGTGGTATTTTGATTTTGCCCTTGGTGAGAAACACCCAATTTTTAAAAATTAATCACCGGGTATTATGCTTCAAGAGTCCCTGTGCCTTCCGGCCAGAGCGCACACACTGCCGTCAGGGCCGCGCTGCAGGGCGTGTGCGTCTTAAACCTGCGCCCGGGCGCGAGCCTTTCTGCCCGTCCGCACGTGCTGTGCCGAGCCGCTGCCTCCGCCTTCCTGAGGGCCTGTCCCACGAGGGCCCGTCCCACGGAGGGCACACCCCGGGGCCGGTGTGGACCCGGGTCCGCCGATGCGCGTGCAGGCTGGGCCGTGAGCGGGGGCGCGAGGAGGGTGGCGAGACCGCTCCCACGGCCGCCCGCGCCCTCGGTCCTGCGGCTGTGGAATCTGTATTGGTGACTGAGACATTGCTGATGAAACGGGTGTCGTAGGCTCCGATGTTTACGCAGACGGTGCCCAGGGGGCTGTGTTTCCTTGGAGGAGGCCGGGTGCTGTAGGAACGAACCGCTTTCCGTTCAGTGACGTTTCCCTGTGACTCCCAGGTCAGCTCGGTCCGGCTGGATCTACCATTAGCTGTGTGAATAGCCTGTGTTTCATGGTTGTCAGTACCGTAACCGGGGTCTTTTCTAAGTGGAAACAGCAAATAAATAACATGTAAAGCTTGAAGAGTGGCAAGCCTTCGCCCCCAGTCTGTGTGTTGGTGGGGACATGGCCCCCGTGAGCTGGTTTCTCAGCAGGGTTCGCGTTGTGGGGGTGGGAGCTGTGAGCTCTGGGGGTGTGAGCTATGAACTGTGGGGTGTGAGCTGTGAGCTATGGGAGTGTGAGCTGTGAACTATGGGGGTGTGAGCTGTGGGTGTGAGCTGTGAGCTGTGGGGGTGTGAGCTGTGAGCTATGGGGGTGTGAGCTGTGAGCTGTGGGGGTGTGAGCTATGAACTGTGGGGTGTGAGCTGTGAGCTATGGGAGTGTGAGCTGTGAACTATGGGGGTGTGAGCTGTGGGTGTGAGCTGTGAGCTGTGGGGGTGTGAGCTGTGAGCTGTGGGGGGGTGAGCTATGAACTGTGGGGTGTGAGCTGTGAGCTATGGGAGTGTGAGCTGTGAACTATGGGGGTGTGAGCTGTGGGTGTGAGCTGTGAGCTGTGGGGGTGTGAGCTGTGGGGGTGTGAGCTGTGGGGTGTGAACTGTGAGCTATAGGGGTGTGGGGTGTGAGCCCATGATTGGCGTTTCCCAGTCCTTACACGGGAGGCATGGATCGGTCTGAACCCGTGCCCACCTGGTTAATACTAATATCAGTGCCGAGTTTATAAAGTCGGTTACCAAGTTACTCCAGTGACCCCGTCTTCACCCAGTCTGTGTCACTCACTGGTGGCAGCACAACCTCAACATTGAAACAGGACCCGAGCCTGAAACCACAGGACTCCCCAGCCGGGCGCCTTCGTAGCCGGCAGCAGGACGCGCAGAGGACGATCCGGAGGGAGAAGGGGCGGGAGGGCGCGGGCCACACCCGAGGGCTCCCGCCAGGCGCCCAGGTGCCATGTGGTGGGGACAGGCTCGGACGAGGACCCGTCTGTCCGGAGCGCGGCCGTGTGGCCACACAGGAGGTGCAGAGCTGTGTCGGTGGAACCCCCTCTCTCCGGGATCAGAAACATGGAAGCAGCTCGTGGTCCCAAGTTCTGGTCCGGGAGAGAGTCTTGGTGCCGCTGCAGCGGGAGACGGCGTTCCCACACGGCTGCCTGAGCCTGCGGGCCTGTCCTCGGTGAGGACGGAGGCTGGGGCTGTGCTCTGTGCTCGCTGTGTCTGCGGGATCAGGGGGAGGTTCCGGCTGCCCCTCCCGGTGGTGGCAGGGTGAGTGCTGGGCTGGGGCCCCGAGGCTGTCAGTTCCTCACACTCCTGGCTACGTTTCCTTTTCTGTTTCTGTAGGCGAGTCCTGAAACACAGGTCCTGCACGCCAGGCTGTTTCTCGGCCCCTCCTCTCCCCGCCACAACCAGAAGCCCCACCTCACTTCCTACGTGGTGAGAATCGGATTGTGATGTTCTGGGCTCATGGGAACTGAGATCAAACCCGGTTCAGTGTCAGCAGATTCAGGTTTTCCCAGTTCAGCACGTGGTCAGCGAGGGGCAGGACAAAGCATGTGACCCCCCTCCCCAACCCCCAGCCTCATGGGACTCAGACGGCCCCCGCCCGTGGCCTGCCTCCCTCCTGGGATTTTCCACGTGGAGATGAGGGTCTTGTAAGTAATAACTTAATTACGTTGTCGTTTTTAAGGGCTGAGAGGACCTGGTAGCTAAGATGATGTCATTTATTTAAAACGATTTGCAGTTTAACTATTTTAACTAACTTCCTTTTAGGACTTTTTCTTAGCATTTGCTTCCTTTCATTTGATTAGCCTTACTTTTACATTTCCAGGCAATGTTTTAAAAAGCCGAGGGAAAGGAGAGCTAGAGGTTTTAGAATGTTTATAAATCAATAACCACTGGTGATATTTGCAAAACATAGAGGATTTATTTTCTGAGCGACAGTGGACAGGGCAGCATCGGCCTGGCGTTTCCTCTGTGCCGCTTCCAGACAAGGTGTGTGATGGTGATTTTCGAAGCCGGTGGTTCTGAGTGGACAGGCAGGCGGCCCTCGCTCACACGCAGTATTTCCAGAAGCACTCGGAGGGGTGCCCCCGCTTCCCCTGCTGCTCCCTGATTCGGGCCAAAAGGCGATTCAGTACAGCGTCGGTGCCTTGTCCAGAGGAAGCCTGAAGCCAAACCAGACAGACAAGCAGATGGGTCATCAGTGAGTGAGAAGGAACAGGGTCCTGACGGGAGGCCTTGCCTCTTGCTCTCGGGGACGTAACTGCAGTCGGAGCCGGGCCTGCGGGCTCTGACGGGGTCCCGTCCAGGGTGTGCGGCCCTCGGGTTGCCGAGAGCCTTCCTGCACCCTCGTCCGCCTGTTTCTGTTCAAACAACCGTCAGCAGCACGTGCTGGCACGCGGTATCTTCTGAGTGAAGCAGATCTTATTGGGCTGGAAGTTAACTTCTCGGACCCTTGATTTCAGGGGGTGTTTTATTCTAAATTTTCACCAGCAAATCACCCGTATGATTTTAGAGTCTAACCAGAATCCCTCTGTTGAGGAGAATATAAACATCTGAAAGACGACTTCTAATTAGTCACAGGTAGAAGCCACCCCGTCCCCTTCAGGCTTACCCCAGGAGGGACCCCAGGGGGTCTACCCCAGGGGGCTCAGGTGCGTGCCGTCCCTGGGACCGTGTGCCCCTAAGTTTGTACAAAGGTGTTAACGGGACCACGTGGGACAAGCTGCTTCCGGTCAGAGTGTCTGGGAAAGGTCTGGTCAACGTGAAGCGAGTTTCTCTCGGGAACCCCGGGCCTCCCGTGTGCCCACGTGCAGAGATCGGCCAGGACGGGAGCAGGCTGGGATGTGCTCGGCACTGCGGACGGGCTCAGGGGACACTGATCTAGAGTTGGGGTGGGTGAGGATCACGTTCAGATTTCTCCTTTAGCATTCGAGGCCCTCCCTGCACTGTCCTCATTTCTAACCGTTCAGTCACAGTCTCCCTGCTGCCCCCACCACCTCCCCCTCTGTGCACACCTCCACCTCCACCTGCACGTCCGTCCTCTCGGATGTTACCCCCCGTGCTTTTCGGAGCTCCGTCTGAAGCAGTGTCTCCCCCTCCCCCGCGGGGGCCCCGGTAAGCTGCAGGCAGGGCCGCCTTGGTGCTGGGGGTGGGGTCGGTGTCGGCATCTCTCACCTCTTTAGACCTCACTCCCGGCCCTTACCGTTCTCGCGTGTCCTCTCGGGTCATACACATTGGTGCCGGGACCTGGAAGGCAATATTGTGGAACGGTCACCCTCAGATCTGTGGCTTCCGTCTCACGCTGGTCTTACGTAAAACTCAGGCGAGAACATTCCTCGCGCACATCTCGGTTCCGGCCTTTTCCCCGCTGCAGGGTGCTCACCTGCCGGCAGGTGAGCCCACACCCTGTTCTCTCACAGGACTGCCTTGTCCCCAGCCACTTAGAGGTCAGTGGTTTATAAAAAAACATTTGATAACAGACTCCTTTCTGTTAAGCAATGCCTGCGAAAAGCCCCGTTCCTCCCAGAATGCCCTGGGCACTGAGCCAGGCCTGAGAGGGTGGTCCTGGGGGAGCACACTTTTCACTATTGCGTGGCCTGCTTTATTGCGGCCGCCGCTGCATTGCGGGCTCTGCAACCCCCACCATGGCTCAGCGGCCTGCCGCAGCCTGCGCTGGCTCGTGGTGTCACTGTGCCTGCGTGCGTGTGTGTGTGTGTGTGTGTGTGTGTGTGTGTGGGTAGTATGTGCATGTGCGTGTCATGTGCGTGCATGCGTGTGTGAGTGTGTGTGTGGCTGTGCTGACCATTGGGCTGCGTGTCCTCCCGGGCTCCTCCCCATCACCCTGTGCGGGGGTGGCTGTCGTTCCTGCTCGCTGATGAAGACACCAGGTGCACAGACTGTCACCTGCTTCAGATTCAGTGACTGGGAAGCCCGGTTTAAACTGCACTGACTAGAAACCGCACCATGCCCCCTCCCCCAAAAGGAAGGTCTGTGCGGAAGATGCCCGAGTGCCCGGGAGAGCCGGCGGTGCCAGGAACCGCGGAGGGGGGAGAGGAGGTGGGGGGGCCTCCGTGCCAGGAAGGGCAGTGGGCCATCCGTTTGCTCATTTCACAAAGCGCAGCTTTGCGTTCGGAGGAGGGCTCTGCCCCCTGGGGGATGGGCCCGGAGATGGCTCAGAAGCCGAAACATCAGACCAGCTGCGGCCCCAGCGCCCCTTACCTGCTCTCCTGAGCCCCTCGGCCGCCTCTGCCCCGGGCGTCGCCCGCAGCCCGCGCGGGAGGGACAGGGACGCGCTGTCCAGCTGGCCCCGCGCCGACCCACCACCATCGGCCGCTGCACGGAGAGAGGGTGTTAGCTACGCAGCTCACCTCCAGGCGGGGCCTTTCACGGCTCCCCCTGCTCCCCATCGTCTTGGGGGCGGGGGGTGCCTAGGACAGGGAACTCACACTAGAGCCGTGGTCGGTAAACCGCGGCTCGTGAGCCACATGTGGCTCTTTGGCCCCTTGAGTGTGGCGCTTCCACAAAATACCACGGCCTGGGCGAGTCTATTTGGAAGAAGTGGCGTTAGAAGAAGTTTAAGTTTAAAAGATTTGGCTCTCCAAAGAAATGTCAGCCGAAGCCGGTTTGGCTCAGTGGTAGAGCGTCAGTCTGCGGACTGAAAGGTCCCGGGTTCGATTCCGGTCAGGGGCATGTACATTGGTTGCGGGCACATTCCCAGTCGGGGGTGGGCAAGAGGCAGCTGGTCGATGTTTCTCTCTCATCAATGTTTCTAACTCTATCCCTCTCAATTCCTCTCTGTGTAAAATCAATAAAAAAATATATTTTAAAAAAAAAGAAAGAAATGTCAATTGCTGTGCTGTTGATACCTGGCTCTGCAGACTAATGAGTTTGCCGACCACTGGCCTAGAGACACCACCAAGGCTGAGCCACCATTAATGGGGTTTAATGAGCAGAAGGGCTGCAGCCCAGGTGCCGGCCGAGGACAGCGGACCGAGAGGCACGGGCCTCGTTCTGACTACGCGTGAGCCGGGCAGACTGGGCCCGGGTCTAGGAGCTGGCTCTTCTCCTTCCCAGAGCCGCCGCTGCCGCCTCGGAGCTCAGGGGGAGAGGGGGGCGGGGAGGAGAGGCCTGGCTTCCTCAGCAGGTTACGGCCTTCATGCAGCGGCAATGGCATCGCGCCGCCTTCAGGCCTTCACGCGCTCCATGCGGTTGTTACTGGGTAAGAGCCAGCTTCCAGATAGCCTTTAGGCCTGGACAGTGCTGTTTCTTGTGGAGCCCCTTTCATTTCCCGTGTGGTTCAGGGTTCAGATTCTGGAGAACGCTGCACACAAATGAAGAGAGACTAGAAAAGCATTGATTTGGGAAATGGGCAGGCGGGCCAGCTGGGAGAGCATCTCTAGGGGAAGGAATACCACTGCTCAGGCTCTGCTAGCCCTTTTATTGAGGTTATGGGATACACCCATATCCTTTAGGCAGGAAATTCCAATCATAGACAATCAGCAATAACTTACATACGATTAGCAGGTGGAAGCTGCTTTAACTACCAATGTCTTAACTAAACAATGAGTGACTTGCCAAAACCAGTTTGGCTCAATGGATAGAGCGTCGAAAGGTCCCGGATTCGATTCCGGTCAAGGGCATGTACCTTGGTTGCGGGCATATCCCCAGTAGGGGGTGTGCAAGAGGCAGTTAGAAACATCTCTCTCATCGATGTTTCTAACTCTCTATATCCCTTCCTCTCTGTAAAAAATCAATAAACAATGAGTGACTAGCTCCGACCTTTCAGAGCCATTAAGGTGGGCCAGTCTTCCGGATTCCCTTTTCACTTTTCTCTATCAGTGACGATGATCAGTGTCCGGCAGTTTCCAGTGTCAAGTCCGGTCAACGTAAGGCAGTCAGCGTAAGGCGTGTGTACGTTGGGCATGGAGCGTAGATGGGGATGGAAGAGCAGGGAAGACAGGGAAGGCGAGTAGGAAGTGCCTGTAGGAGCAGAGACGTGGCCCGGGCAGCCCTTGGCCGGGGGCGCTCTGCTGAGATGGAAACTCGAGGGGTCTCACAGTGCTTACCGCACGGGCTGACAAGCCCTCCCTACGGCCTTCACTGAAGACAGCCAAGCACGAGAGAGGCACCTGAGCCAGTCACAGCGCTACTGACAACGTCAATGAGAACCTGTGAGGTTCGGCCACGTGTGTGTGTTTATGTCACGAAGGATCATTTAGGGCCGTCGTGGTCGGCAAACTCATGAGTCCACAGAGCCAAATAGCAACAGGACAACGACTGAAGTCTCTTTTGAGAGCCGGATTTTTTAAACAAACTTCTTCTAACGCCACTTCCTCGCAATAGACTCGCCCAGGCCGTGGTATTTTGTGGAAGAGCCACACTCAAGGGGCCCCAGTTTGCTGATCACGGATTTAGGGAGAAACAAATGAGAAAAAATATTCAGGCAACAACGCTCACGTAAGATGCCACCTGTTTGGAATTTGAAATACCATCCTCATTTCATTGAAGCTTTTTTAAATAAATAAATACATAAATAAATAAATAAATAAATAAATAAATAAATAAGGAAGAGCCGGCTGGCGGCTCTCAGCCCTAACGCAAAGGAGGAAAAAACTCTTTACCTGAGAGCCGCAGGGCCGCGGCCCCGGAGCGCGGGGCGGGGAGGGAGAGGCGCGGCGGCAGGCATGCCAGGAGAAGCAGGCAGCAGGCGGCCAGCCGGCACATGGCGGACACTGATGGCTCTTCCTTCAGCTTCCTCTCCAGAGCTCTGCTGCTCCTCAGGCTGCGATCAGCGAAGATGTGTATGTATATATATGATCCTATGACCTCCTCCCCTCCCCTCTAGAAAAAAGGCAAATACACTGATTGGCTGCGGAGGCTCAAAGGCATTCGCTTTGCATTGATGTAATTCTTCAAGGTGATAACTCACCGGCAGCACGTCAGCTGTCTTGTGCTTAATGTACAGCTCGGACGTTCTATAAAGAGCAGTTGCGTGTGCGGATCTGGCAGACGGAGCGACCTGGAGCAATCCATCATGGTGTCCGGGTCAGGAGAGCTGGCGGCCGGGGCCGAGGTGGCATCGATGAGTCCCAGCACCCGGCGCCGACGTCGTTCTTTCAACCCCGTGAGCCCGTCGACTGGCTGCCGCTGTGTTGGGGCCCGCGCGGCCACAGAGGGACAGTGTGGAGTAAGACTTAAAACCCGGTTACTTACAAACCTGAAGACGCCTCAAACCCACGGCCACCACTCAGGCTCAGGCAGGTTTGCACAAACATGTGGCCTCCGGGAAAGCTGCCAGCACGGCCCTGGCTGGTGTGGCTCAGTGGATAGAGCGTCGGCCTGAGGACTGCAGGGTCCTGGGTTTGATTCTGGTCAGGTTGCCGGCTCCATCCCCAATGGGGGGCACGCAGGAGGCAGCCAATCAATGATTCTCATCATTGATGTTTCTATCTCTCTTTCCCTTCCTCTCTGAAACCAATAAAATTTTTTTTTTTTTTTTTTAAACAACTGCCAGCACGCGGGTCTTCAGAGAAGGGCAGTGACTTTCCTTTCCGTTGGGGTCACGCAGGGAGGAGTGAAGAACAAGCCTGAAACCTTGCTGGTTGGTATTTCCAGAACTTCCCTGCTGTGTGCCACCGCCCGGCCTGGTGCAAGCCCAGATTGGGGCAGCCGCCGCCTCCAGGAGGCCCTCCAGGCTGCCTTCTGCACCACCAGCCTCCACTCTGCACAGCAGGCACAAGCTCTTAGCTCATAAATCAGATCGTATCTGGCTTTTTCCCCCTCAAAACCCTACATTGACCTGAACGTAAAGTTAAAATGCAGAATTACCAGGGGGGGGGAAAAAAACACACAACCTTCGGTAGGCAAATACTCTTTAGGCCATCAACCATGTTAAAAACAAACCAACAAAAAGCCGGTAAATCTGACTTCATCAACACGAGAACGTGCTCTTTGAGAGAGAGTTAGGAAAAGGAAAAGACCAACCGCTGCTGTGGGGAATACTCATGAAGCACAGGCCCGCCCACAAGGCCGGCTCCCGGGTACGGTGTTAAAAGGGCCCCCAGCTCAGGCTGCGGGCCAGGAGGAGAGTGAGCGCAGGGCTGAAGGTGCTTCCCCAGAGAAGGTCCGCAGGAGCCGGTGAGGACACAAAGCACACCCGCAGCGGAGAGGGAGGACCGTGGGGTCAGATGGCAGCACAGGCCTGGCAGCATGGACCAGCACCGTGTGGGTGCCACCTGGAGACTGAGGGGAGTGGGTGCTGGAGAGAAGGGGGAGAGGGAGTGGAGTCGACAAACACACCACTCTTAGGAGCCTCGAGAGGAGGGAGCAGGGTGGTCAGCCAATGGGCAGGGTCTAGGGTCAGGGGAGAAGGTTAAGGAGGTAACATCACTGATGGCTTTCTTTTTTTCTGTGTTTTTTTTTTAAATATATTTTTATTGATTTCAGAGAAGAAGGGAGAGAGAGAGAGAGAGAGAAACATCCGTGATGAGAGAGAATCATGGATCAGCTGCCTCCTGTACGTCCCCCACGGAGGGTCCAGCCTGCATCCCGGGCCTGTGCCCTGACCAGGAATGGAACCGTGACCTCCTGGTTCACAGGTCAATGCTCAGCCACGGACCCCCGCCAGCTGGGCTCGATGGCTTCCTTGGCCGTGTGCACCGCCAGGTCTGCCTCTGCACATGGCATCCCCACGGTGACCAAGGCGGCAGAGCCCGGTGCTGGTGCCCAGCCCGGCTTGTCCAGTCCGGCTGCTGCAGAGTCCCAAGCCCCAGACGCAGCCAGGGGTGGTGTGCCCGGGAGGGGCTGTGCCCACCGCTCCTGGCCAGTTCCGTGTGAGAAAAAAACGCAGCCCCAACACTGTTCACGTGTCCTTTCAGAGGCGGCAGCCAGGTTTGAACGCCAAGGTGCCCCGGGTGCCTGCCGCCAGGGCCGTGGTTTATAACGAAAGATCTTTCGTTCTGGAAAAGCCCTTCCAGGGTCCAGGGTCAGGGGAGAAGGTTAAGGATCCTGTGGTTTGTTTTTTTATATATATATATATATTTTTTTTATTGATTTCAGAGAAGGGAGAGAGAGGTAGAAACATCAGTGATGAGAGAGAATCATGGACCAGCTGCCTCCTGTACGCCCCCACTGAGGGTCGAGCATCCCGGCCTGTGCCCTTGTCTGGTTAAGGATCTGTCAGCCCGGCTGCTCAGCACGGCTGCCACGGGGCCCGGGGCTGCTGGGCTGTTTGTTTTGCTGCCTGACATCCCCCGTGCCCCGGGTGTGGCTGGAAGACAGGGTAAGGGGGTGCCAATCCCTTCTGGGGAGCACTGGCTGCTCGGGGTCCCTGCACTGCAGGGATGCCTGAGGACCGCCTGTGGAATTGTGTGTCCAACACCCCCTCCCTGAACGGGGGTGAGCACATGAGAAAATGGCCACACTCCTGCCCTGACCAGTTTGGCTCAGTGGATAGAGCGTCTGCCTGCGGACTGAAAGGTCCCAGGTTCCATTCCGGTCAAGGGCATGTGCCTTGGTTGCGGGCACATCCCCAGTAGAGGGTGTGCAGGAGGCAGCTGGTTGATGTTTCTGACTCTCTGTCCCTCTCCCTTCCTCCCTGTAAAAAATGGATAAAATATTTTTTTAAGAAGAAGATGGCTACATTCCTGTGCTGGAGCGTGCTCAGTGGCCTGGACCCTTACCGCCGGGGAGCAAGTCCCCGCGTCCGCCTCGGAACGGCCTCGTCCCCGCGTCACTTCCCAGCAGCTCGCAGTGACCGGGCGCCTCACAGCGGAGGGTGAGCTGCCAGAGGGACGCTGCATGTGTTGTCATCGCAGCGGATGCGTCAGGCGCCCGGCGGCTGAGTAATTCCTGCCCGATGGATGGATCTGATTCATCCCTCACACGGCGCTCGCTCTGGGGGCACGGGGAGTGGCTCAGTGTCCCCAGCGGCCCGGCTCCCGCCAGCAGGTCCATCCTGCTCTGGTCTCAGAGGAGGCGCGGGGGCGGGGAGGGGGGTTAATTGTGACCGAGCTGGTGTGATGCTGAGAGGGAGTGCAGGCCCCCGCATGTGTGTGAATGCCCACGTCCCGCCTGGTTCAGGGTTCGGGCTCTGGAAGAGGGGCCGCACGCCAATGAGAGAGACGGGTCGAGAAATAACCATTTGGAAATATGGGGGGACCCGGCGGGAGCCCAGCTCAAGAGGACACCCCCGTAGCCCTCAGGCAGGCAGTCTCCAGTAGCAGGCAGACATATCAGCAAGGTTACAGGACTGTCCGGCGGGGAAGCTGCTTCAGCGACCAGACTACACATGGATGTACAGCGCCGGCCTTGGCCAGGGCCACGGGTCACCGGCCTTCCGCTCCCTGTCCACACCTCCTGCTCGTGAGGACGGCGGGTGGCTTCCCACAGACAGCGGCGGCTAGGCTGGGCCCGCGGGTTCGATGGAGGATGTTTCCCCGCCCCGTCCGCGGTCACCTGTGCGGGGGCCAGGCGGCCTCCTCCCTGCTGAGCCCGCCCGCCCCCGGGGCCTCGGAGCCTGGGGGGAACACGCCGTCCCCGCGCCCTCGGGAAGCCTGGGCGCGGGTCCCGGGTGGCCCCTGTGGGCCGTTCCCAAGTCCGGACGGACTCCTCCCGAAACGCTCTCCTCCGCTTTCGAAAAACAGAGCGTTGTTTCTGTTTAAATAATTTACTTTGTGTGACCTCTTTTTAAAAAAAAATCCTCAGCGGAGGATATTTTTCCATTGGCTTTTAGGGAGAGTGGGAGAGGGCAGGACAGAGAGAAACACTGATGTGAGAGAAACACATCGTTGGCTGCCTCCTGCATGCGCCCTGATCAGGACCCGGGCCGGGGAGAAGCCTGCCACTGAGGTCCGTGCCCTTGACCGGACTCAGACGCGGGGACCTTTAGGTGCCCCGGCCAACGCTCTGTCCACTGAGCCACACCGGCCAGGGCTGTGTCGCCTCTTGGTCGTCCCTGTCTTTCCACAAAACCACCCAGAACGCCCCTGTAGCCGGGCCCCCAGGCCTTTCCCTCCTTCCCTAACCCAGCTTGTCCCCTGTGCTCTGGCCGCCGTGGCCATGAACCCGAGGCCCCACAGCGCCCCCTGCAGGTGGTTCCTTTGCCGGAACTCAGGGCAGCATGACTTGGTTGCCAGTTTATTGAAGGATGCAGTAAAGCACACGGGGACAGCCGGCTGCGGGGGGCTCAGGGTGAGGGGTGGGAGGGTCCCCGGCTCAGGACTCCGGCCGTGGAGTTGGGGTGCGTCACTCGGTCTGTGGACGTGCTCCCCAGCCTGGCAGCCCCGAACCCCCATGGTCGGGATCCTGTGGAGGCTTCCTGGTGATCAATCACACTCCCTCCCCGGCCCCTCGCCCTCTCCTGGGGCCGGAAATGCCACCGCTCGAAGCGTGGCTGGTCTTCCTGGCGCCGCCCCCCTCCCCAGGTCCACCCAGAGCCCCTTCTCCGCCCACAGGAAGCTCCTGGCACCCAGGAAGGGACAGGCTGCCGGTTCCGTGCCAGGAAGCGGAGTCCCAGACGGAGGACTCAGCTGGTGCTCCCATCGCCCAGGAGACGCCAGGGCCCCTGGCAGGAGCTGCGCCAGGACGGGCGGGACAGCAGACTCCTCCCCATAGTCACAGGGAACAGACGGGAACGGAATTAAGACGGCGACACCTCCCATCGGGTGAAGAGCCCGAACAGCCCGCACCGGGCCTGGCCCCTCGCTGGCGGTCACGTTGGAGGT